CCCCATTCTTAGTTTAAAAAGTATTATTTCATTCTCAGAGAAAAAAAAATATGTGAATGGCATTAAAATATAATGGTGATTTTTTTCCTTTGGCTAGTGGGATGGCCTTTAATTTTTTTTCAAAATATTTTACCAAAGCATTTTTTAATAATGAAGAAAAGATAACAAAGGTATAAAATGGATTCTGTGTGTACCCGGCGGGTACTGACATGCAGAACTGACAGGTGGTGTAGCCGGAGGCAAGATTTTAAAAAGAAGATTGGAATCTTTGAGGCTGGAAAGAACCCAGGACAATCTGATAGCAAGAGGCCTCCCGAAAACACTGAAATAAGAAGAGGCAATGCTCTGCTGAAGATTTCTGTAGCCAAAGACCAAAGACACTACCGACTCAGCCTTCTGCAGTTTAACTCAAAGGCAGCTTCATGCAAAAGAGAAGAGCCTGCAAGGTGGATAGAACATGGCTTGGTCTTTCCCCCTACCCCCACCCCAACCCCACCACCCAGGACCTGGAAAGTGGAGGGTTCAATTATCGAGAAGAGTTAATAACTCCAGCAATCACAACGAAAGGAAGTATAAACTAAAAGTGAGGAATAAGAGAAATGAACAACTAGTGCCTGAAGCAAACTGTTTAGCACTTTAAACCTGTGCCAAGCTAATTGCATAAAAATGAGATTATGTACCTGTAACTTACATATATTGCATACAGTTTATACTCTAAGATTTCTTGGCTGTGGTAAAAATCGGCTGTATTCTTGAAAATGGTTGCCCCAGCAATAGTTGCTTCGGAGTAGAGATTCATGCAGAATTAAAGCAAAAGTTCTAAATCTCAAGGGCACACTCTTGGGAGAAGTGACCCCTCCTCCCGACTTTGAGCCTTGGGAATGGAAAGTTATTATTTGCGCAGTTACACTTATTGAGCAGTTAGTGATTGGAAGGCTAAGAGCTTTTAATGGATTGACTCATTTATTCTTCAGAGGAGCCCTATGAGTTAGATACTGCTATTATGCCCAGCTTTACAAATAAGGGAATCGAGATCTAGCTGGCAAAGGGCAATGTTAGGACTGTCTGACTTTGACACCCAAATTCCTTCTGTAACACTAGCCTGCATTTGTTAGTCTGGAAAATACCCTAAAGCAAGTAACAATAGTTATAAAATACTACAATTAATAATGCCTAGGGCAAGGTTATAAAGAAACAGATGCGTTCCTGAGTTGGTCACACTGCACTCACAGGAAATGTGAATTACTGTGATCTCTTTGAAGGACAATTTGGTAATATTTATGAGAAGAATTTTAATGCAAGTACACTTTGTTTCCATTACTGAGCTACTGGAAATTCACCCTAAACATTAAACTGGCAAGAACACATGCAAGATGTTCAGTGCAAAGAACTAGAAGCAACCAGCATTGTTTAATAGGAAACTGGTTAACTAATTCATGGTTCAGCCATTTAAAAAAGCTGAAGTGGGTCCATATGTTCTGAAATAGAAAAATCACCAAGATATGGTAAGTGGAAAAAGCAAAGTGCAGAATGGTGTGTGTAGTAAGATTACTTTTGTAGTAACGTAAAAGGATACACATGGAAGATGGATTGATAGCTATACTAGCATATAAACATTTTGCCCCAAAAGGAAACACAAAAAGCCTTTAACAATAGCCTTTCAACAAAAAGCCTTTCAACCTTTGGAAAGAGTAACTGAGTTACTATTTTTGTGCTATTTGGAGATACTTGGACTTGTAAAGTTTTGTTTTCTTCATGTTTGCTGTTTTTTTTAAGAAAAACATTTTATTAAATCTTGAAAAAAACCCTAATAGCTAGCATTTATTGAAGTTTCATAATGAGCAAGGGACTGTGCTAAGCATTTTGCATATAATAATTCATTATAGTCTCACATTTAATGATTAGCTCCATTTTCGAGGTAAGGCATTTGAGGCTCAGGTGAAATCACTTGCTTGAGGTCCCACAGCTAGCAAGTGGGGGAACTGCTATTTTAAATGCTTGGTCCCCTCAATTCGGAGCCCTTGGCTCTCAACTGCCAGGCTGTGCTCTTGTCACTGGTCTTTATATTCTCACTGCCTAATAAAAGTAAACTGGTGAACAACTGGAGTCTAATGAGATAATGTATGTGAAAATACTTTTCTAAGTATAGAGATGTTTGGAGAGGACAGGAGGAGCAGAAGGAGGGAGTTTAAATGGGCCAGGCCTGTCCACTGACCCCTAGACAGTTAGGATATTGGGTTTGGTTTGGTTTTGAGGAAAGGATGATCAACAAAATTTTTTCTCCTTTAATATATTATGAAATTATATTTACTCATTTTCCCCCAAGAATACCTGATTACTGTTTTAAAATTAAAATGCCACATGGAAATGAAAATCCTTTCACAGTATCCTTCACTAATAATTAATGACTTTCAGGTTTTAATGGCTATATAACTATATGTTGCACCATCCCACATATTTTACATAAATGGGGGCAACTACATATTTGTCCCTGGTAGCTCAGTGGTAAAGAATCTGCGTGCAATGCAGAAAGTGAAGGAGATGCGGGTTCAATCCCTGGGTTGGGGAGATCTCCTGGAGGAGGGCATGACAATCCACTCCAGTATTCTTGCCTAGAGAATCCCATGGACAGAGAGGAGCCTGGTGGGTTACAAGTCCATAGGGTCGAAAAGAGTCAGACACAACAGAAGCGACTGAGCACACATGTATTTGTTCAGTATCTTGCTTTTTCTTCATCCTTACAATATGTCTTGGCCATCTTTTCATATCAGCATTTACCAATATACGTTTCTCTTTTTAATAGTATCCTATTTTGTGTGTGTGTGTACACACATTATTTTTTAAATCATCTATTGAAGGATGTTTTAAGTTACTTCCAATTGTTTACTTTCCTAAACACTGTAATGAATACCCTTCCTAAGAAAGTTTAGAAGGATCTTCGGGCTGTGTGACATTTGTCAACTCTGTAGTCGATGCGAGTGACCCAAACGGACTCTGCAGCGAAGGGAGGAGTATGTTTCACTGAGTAGAGAAACAAACAATTCTCTACAAAATACTGTAGCCAACAAGTTCAGAGATATTAGAGTTGTCAACAGGTGAAGCCACCTTAGCAAGCGGCGCACCCTGTTTTGACAGTTTAGTAACAGCAGAGACTTGAGGCAATTACTCAGGACTGATTGTGAGCTCAGAAGAAGAATTTCCCTGTGGATCCCCCCACCCCCAGACTGTCTGGAAACAGACAAGGATGGGCAGGAGAGCTCCAAATCCGGCAACAGCACGTGTGAGAGCAGCAGTGACTTATGAGGAAACTCATAATTCATAGACCAAACCTCTTCCAGCAGAGGGCACTGCCTCAGATATCAGGCGGGACTCGGGCCAGCTGGAGCCAGAGCTGGAGACTTCGCGGGACAGATTACACCAGCCCTAGGCGGAGAAGAAACTCAACTGCACTGTCCTTTGGATACTGTAAGTGACGTTGGGGAGTACTCAGGGAGAGACACATCAGGACTTCACACTAATTTGCTTGTTCTCTAATATCTAACAATTGGGGCTTGGTAATCTCTTTTTATACAGCTGTCCCCATTGCAAGGGGGACTTGAGGTCATTTTTAACTCCACTGGCTACTGACTCTTTCAGTTTCTGGGTGCATGCCCGAGTCAAAAACGGAGTGACATGCCTAAAATATAACCTAGGCTTCTGACCCCGGGGCTCTGTGGATGTGACACAAAGTTTACAAGTAGAAAGCAGAGGGAAAGAGATGTAAGAAGTAACAATTTTATCTAAAATAGAAACTTAGTGTGTTTAACCTTAGAGTCCTTTGATTTGAATTTCAAAGATATGAAGGATGGTCATTAAAACAAACTTTATTTTTGGGGGGGGGGTAAATTTCTTTTTTTTTTTTACTTTTATTTTTTTTATTTTTATTTTTTTTTCCCAATAATAATAAAACAAACTTTAACTTGGGAGAGCCAGTCATGCAAATTGCTGTGCCTTACAAGATAATGAAAAGAGTTAAGTCTGCTGGCCTAAACAATTGCCAATCCACGCTTCCCTGCTGCGTAGCGGTTGGAATCAAAAAAGAGGCAAAACTGAGTTAGAGTACCTTAAAGTCTACTAATCCTGTTGTTTTTTGAGCCTGGTGATACAAAAGAAAGGAGCGACTCTGGCATTTGCTGGTGGAGACAAGGCAGATTTGCCAGGTGATAAAGTACCCTGTGTGTGTGTGTGTGTTCAATTATTTGTCAGCACGGCTAAAGAAAACACACCACAGAGGAAATCAGAACCATTAGTGAAGTCGAAGGTTAGTTTGCACGCGTTCCTTCGAAAAATACCAAGTGGAAGGAAGACCAGCAAAGAGAATCCACTTTCTTGGCTGTTTTATTTCCCCTGCCGCTTCTAGTCCGGGAATGTTTGGCTTGTGCTCCGGGTCGTCAGATCCGCCACGAGCCGATCAAGTCGTCAGGCCGGGCTGGGGGCCGCTGAGACGAGGAGGGGTTTCCGCGAGGTCGGGGTGGGACTGTCCGCAGCATCAGCAGCAGAAGCAGCAGCTGCGGGCGGCCGGGCGGAAAAAGGAGACTCCGGAGGTCCCGAGAGAGGTCCTTTGCCAAGGCCGTAGCCCCGACCCGAAACCGTCCCCGCCGTCTCGCCCAGCAGGGCGCGGCCCCAGCGCCACCCGGCTCGCCCCGGAGAGGTGGGACTTTCCCCACCGGAAGTGATCCCGTCCAGTCTCGGGGAACTGGGGCACCTCAACCAGTGTGTCAGGGAAACCCTTCCGGGTGTGTGCTGGGGGGGGTGGGGTGGGGGGGTGAGAAAAAAAGAGGTGGGTTCGCTTGGAGTCCCAGGGGCCGCCGCTGCCGCCGGACGGCCCCCGCCCCTTTCCCCTCTGCGAGCGGCAGCGCAGGGGAAGCGGTGAGACGGAGGAACCGGCCTCTCGCTATGGCCTTGGCGTGACAGAGTTTCCCGGGCGGCCGGGCGGGTGCGAACGGCAGGGTAAGCTTTCCCCACGCCCCCTGCCTGGGCTTCAGTTCCTATAGGAAGGGCATTACCATCCCATCCCCACCCACCCCGACACTTCGCTCTTTCCCCTCCCCCTCCTTTAACTTCCTCTTCTTCCCCCGTCGGGCCCTGGGCTCCTCTGCACTCTCCTCCCGGGTTCGCAGATTTCCGCCCACCTTCCGCCTCTCCGAGCCGCGCCGCAGCGAGCGGGGTGTTATTTTTCCCTCTCTTTGGTAGGAGTTGGTGAAGGTGAGACTCAATGAGGGAATACAAGGTAGTGGTGTTAGGGAGCGGAGGGGTTGGCAAATCCGCCCTGACTGTGCAGTTTGTCACTGGGACTTTCATTGAGAAATATGACCCCACCATTGAAGATTTCTACCGCAAAGAGATCGAAGTGGACTCTTCCCCGTCCGTGCTGGAAATTCTGGACACCGCAGGAACTGAGCAGTTTGCTTCCATGAGAGATCTCTACATCAAAAACGGCCAAGGTTTCATCCTGGTTTACAGTCTGGTTAATCAGCAGTCTTTTCAGGTAACCAAACCAAGTCTTATGATTTGTAAGAAGGGGGTGTGGTAATCCTACATTTACTTCTGGTTTGCTTGCACCGTGCGTAAATGACTGTTTTGCTTTTGAAAGTTAGACATGGTGCATTTTTGAGGTTACTCCTGGCACGGTAAAGTATCCAGTTGTTTCTGTAGAGAAGACTAAAGTCGCAACCGTCAACAAATGTCTTAAAGTTATTTTTAAGTGAAAGAGAAGTGAAAAAAGAAATGTCAGCTTGTGTATGTTTAGCCTGGACTATAGCCTTCTGAAGTTGCTTGTTCAAGTCCACAAGCCTTCGTTAAGGTACTCAAGCAAACAACATTTAAAAGATAATCTCGGGCAAATAGAGCACTTTGTAAGGAAAATTATTTGGAGACGATTATCTGTTCCACAGATAAATTCCTCTGTGTCTGCTTCGCCCTCCCCCTTTCTGTTCACACCCAAGTCTCTCAACCAGATTTCTAAATCTTAGGGCTGCGAGATGATGAACCCAAGACCTGCCTTCTAGGCACTCTACTTACTTGGAGCGTGTGAAGGGAAGTTAGTAATTGAAAAGACTAGTATCTAAAGTTAATAACAAACAAAAATCTAGAATGATTCTCTTTTTTTTTTCAGTTCAGCCAAATTGATTCTGATAACATTGACTATATTTATAGAAAATATGTGGATCTGGGAACAGTGAACAAGTGCAGATTTTTAACCCCCCGGCTAGGTGGTGGTCCAGTTTCTCTGGAAAAATCTGTCGTGTCCTTCACTGGGAGACAGACTGGAAGTTTAACATTATTTTAAGAGATGCAATAAATGTTGCTATTTATTCCTTGAAAATAAATAACCTCGTATTGACTCATTATATTGACCTTCATTGATTTAGGAAATGGATATTTTTTTCTGCATTTAAAGGTATGCACTTAATGTTGCTTACTTAAGAGACATTAAGTGCTTTAGCCAAGCTGTTGTGCTAATTTCACTTTTCTTAGTATTTTATTTTAAAATGAACTTTCCCAGTGACCTGATGTAGCACCTTCAGGGTTTTTTTTTTTTTCTTTTAAAGATAAGTAATGGGTAAATTAATCAAAGTTGTTGTGATCAGACTAAAGTTCATTTTATGCAGACTTAAATTCCAAAGCAAAACTGTTAGATTCCAAAGCATTTTTCTCCAGAAAGTACCAATGTGCTAAAGGTGCTATTTGACAGAAGTTTTCTTTCTACAGGATCCTTGGGACATTTGTTATTCTATTAGCTGACTCTTCAGGCTGGCAGTCTTTTGAAGGGTTTTTCATAAGATATCCATTATAACTACTTCTCTTATACACATATATAGGGAATGAAAAACTGCCATTATTTCAGTAGAGACTTAAACTCTTTTAAGCCCAAATACCATCAATTTGGATTCTCAGCTGAACTTGTTTCTATAAGGACACAGGGGAACGAAGCTTAACTGAGAAGACTGAATTGATACGTGATCCAACAAAATTGTTGCAACTATCAACTGTATGTTCTTGTAAATTTTCAGTCCCTTCTTTTTTCTTCATCCTGCATGTAAATGCTGTGTCCTGTAACTGTTCAGATTAAGCACATGTGTTATATTTAAGTCAAACTTTTCAAGTTAGTTACAAAAAATTTCAAGAAGTGCAATGTATTAGTAAATTACACTAACTATACAATTATTACATTGTGTTAAATCGATACTACCCCTCGAAAATTGACCCTCCTCGAGAATTGCTAAGGCTCTTATGTTTTGTCATTAGTTGTAATTGCTTAGAAAAAGTCATATATACGAGGGAGAAAATTCACATAATATGCCCAAACATAGGCAAGGGAAAATTTGACTTCTTCCGGCCCAAATCCGCCCCCCACCCCGGCATTGTCCCTCCCAGGAGTTGCTCACTAGTGTACAGTAATTTCTAATACTGAAGGGTATTTTAAGGATCAGGGCATATACCATTACATTTAAAACGAAACACTGAAGTGTGTTTGGTCTTCTAGGCACAAGGCCATGTTTTTCTTCCCACCTAAAACACTTTCTCTCAAGTGCTCTTGCTAAATGGCTAGGAATGCATAGATGCTGTAATTCTGTGCTGGGGTAACAGGTGTTACCAGGAGTGATGACAAGCTGGCAGGTTTAAGGACATGGCCAAACACCCTTTTGGATTCATCATATTTGGGGATTTGCTTTTGAAATCAGTGTCGACTGAGGGAAAGAAGTGAGTAAATGATTCCTAAAGTTATTGTTCAACCTACATTTTACATTCTTAACAAATCCAGCAGGGGTAGGGCCTGTGGAAATTATCTATTCCTACTTCAACGGAGAAAGTGACATTTTCTCCATTTGGGTGTGTGGTTTTATTGTGGATTCAGCTTTCTCTACTCACTGAGGGATGACTTCTTGGGATATTGTAATATTTCTTTTATGGTTATGCAAACAGCATAATTTTTTTCTTTCTCTTTGTGATTGTTTACATAGGATATCAAGCCAATGAGAGATCAGATTGTCAGAGTGAAGAGATATGAAAAAGTCCCACTGATCCTAGTAGGAAATAAAGTGGATCTGGAACCAGAAAGAGAGGTTATGTCTTCAGAAGGCAGAGCTCTGGCTCAAGAATGGGGCTGTCCTTTCATGGAGACGTCGGCAAAAAGTAAATCAATGGTGGATGAACTTTTTGCTGAGATCGTCAGGCAAATGAACTATTCTTCCCTACCCGAGAAGCAAGATCAATGTTGTACAACTTGCGTTGTCCAGTAAAAAATAAAAAGATAACCTCAATCATGGCCATACCGAGCAGGTTAGTTGTTGATGGAACCTTATGTTTTTGATCAAGTATAACAAAAAGCTGAATATTAATACACATGCTACCTTAAATTTCTTTATTTAAAAAAAACATTTCCCTTAGCACAAAATAATCAACATTCAATATAGATAATTGAAAAAGAGACAGGTCAGTAAAATGAAGGTAAGAAATTGTGTGTACTCCCAATACCAAGATTTGTTTTTTAAAGTGAGTTTACTATTCTGTCTCTGATCTGTAACATTCCTTTGGGGTGGGGTGAATTAAAGGATAATTTTCCCTGTTTGGGTGATTTAGCATTCAGAGTGCATGGGAGAACATCCAGTAATAACTTGAGAAGATGATTAGTTTTGTGTTTTCTGTGCTTTTCTATCACGAGCTGGAGAGCTGCTTTAATTGAAATCATCAATTTACTAATCACCCAAGTGCTAGATTTAGCAGAACGATTATTTAATCAAGTTCACATGTATGTTACACTGGAGGGACTTAAGTGACCTCTGATAATAACAAACTATAGTGCCACAATGTACCTTGACTCATTATGAATAATATGGTCCAGATGAGAAACTGGTGAAATCATCTGCAGTGTGTTTAGAATGGACAATCCCAAGCCTAGGAAACATTTATATTCAGCTTAATAAATAATGGAGTTAATAAGAACAATGGCAAAATCTTCAAACCTCTCATCGAGCTAAATAACTTAATAAAGGTGTTTTTTATTTATTTTTTTTTTTACTTTTTTTAAAAAGATGTTTTTTAAATGAATGCATTTTTTGAAAAGTAAGGTTCTGTAAAACTTATCGATCATTTAAAATAAGATAACTTTATTCATATCATGATCTTTTAATCTAGATTGTAATTGGGCAGATAGTCTCACTTAGACAATAATACCTAGATAACAAGACAACCAATATCCTGGATGACTGAGAAACTGCAGAAAATGCCAGACTAGCTGGACAATATCAGGAATGGAATTGATTGTTTTGAGCCAAGACTGACCTCAAGTCTAAGAGGCAGTGTTGCAAATGGCAACAGCCATTTCAGATCGCAGAAATGATTCCTAATCAAAGGTCTGGCTTTATATGTGCTCCCTGGAGAAAAGACTAACGGTCCCTAATTTATCTTTTCAGACAAGATTTCCTGTCAGCTAGTGTCATCTTTGAAAATGAAGGATGACAACAGTGCTTTATTCAAAATGCTTTCACTCATCAAGTTTTGAGCATACCAGAATGTGATGAAAACACATTTGTTGTCTTATACCTCGCTCCATCTGTTATCATATAGCGTCACTCTGCAGACTGTAGCCCAGTGTATGTTTTGTTGATAGCATCATACTTGCAATATAGTTTTTTGAGGCAGTATGTAGGTGATTGAGTCCAGTGTTCTTGTTTCCACAGTGTCTCTTCTTAAATCTCAAGCCAGCTTCAAGTTCGAACAAGTTGTGTGTGGTATTGCATCTTTACCATTATGCTCTACTTCTCTGACATTTTTAACCAGGCAAATAACATGTTGTATGCATTTTAGTTTTATCATCTTCATAAACAATTAACCAGCTCCCGCAAAACATTCCCAGTTTTTTCCCCATAATTATTGCAGACAGCTATTGGAAGGAAACCATAAAATGGATTTCATACATGTGGAGGGCCACTGTCTTAGTCAAGTTGGCAAATGAATGATGTATAAAGCTATTTTTAAAGCTTTCTTATTCTTAGTTATTTCTGAGTTTATTTCATTTTGCAGCTTTTGTGATCTAAATTACTTTTAATCTGTTTGATTACCTACAGGAATGATTAAATAGACTTTTTAATATCTCAAGCAAACTATGTTTATATTTGTTAACTAAAGTACTAAAATCAGAAAATAATAGTATCAATAATTGCTTCTTTTATAATATTGGGTTAAGTTTCCTGGGTAGTTTTTGTTTGGTTTTTATAAGCAGAACACACAATTAAAGGTGTGAGCCTTGAAATAAAATATCTAATCAGCTGGATTTCTGAAAATGTTAACAGGGTGTCCCCTGACCAAGATCTCTTTGAACAAAACACACTGTATGCAATGGAGTTTTTTGCTATCAAATATGATTGAACTGATGTGGTTAGGTATCTGTAATAAGAGGTCCATAAAGGTTGTGGCTGTTCTTGCTTACTGTTTATTTTTAAAAAGTAGGAGATGGATTCTGAGTCCTGTAGCTTGAGTCACAGAGCTCTGAGGTCCATCAGTCCCAGATCTAGATTGAAGATAAAACTTGGACAAGTAAAGGTGACTTGAGAAATGTTTGTCTTTAATGTTTAGAAGAGAACCTTGTCCACATTAGAGATAGTAAGACCCAGATAAGTCAGAAGGACTGTGATTGTTGTACATAGTTTTCTCTTTAATTGAAAGGGAAAGTTTATTAATGCTCTAAGAATTACTTCTGATAATACCTCACATTTATTTATCACCCTTCAGTTGGAGTCACCAGTCTCTTGCCCGACACCTGTTTATCTGCATGTCTCCCAGGATGGTTTCCCCACCTTTCACCCTCCTATTGGCAGTAATCTTAGTGTAAATTTGGAAGCAGTGCCAGATTCCTTACATGCTACTTTCGTGGCTGGTTTCCTTACTGAGCTGAGGAGCCTGCCATCAAGTGTTTTGAAGGACTTCATTACTGTGATACAGTGTTGCAGCCTTATCTTGATTTTGTTAACTATATCATAGCTCTTTTCTATTGATGTAAAGAATTGACATTTGGCTGTTGTGATATACTGTTGTTGAGAATGATTAATGTTTTCTTAATAATCCCATAATACTGTAACAGAAGTAAATCACAGTGCTGTGGGGGCACAGGGAAAGGAGAGACCAAGGTTAGAGCAGGTTTCTCAACATTCAGGGCTCTTTGTTGTAGGAAGCATTGCATTCTGTGCATTGCAGAATGTTTAGCAGCATCCCTGGCATCTGCCTATCAGATGCCCCTCTGTTGTGATGAACAGAAATATTTCCAGACATCGCCAAGTGTCTCCTGGAGGGCAAAATTGCCCCTGGTTAAGAAGCACTGATTTAGAGGAACTGGGGAGCAGTAGCATTTGAGTTAGGCCTTGAAGAATGGGTAGGGTTTGAGTAGATGGGGGAAGGGTGGAGGTGGTTTCGAAACAAGGAATACCAAAAAGAAGCAAAATAACGTCCTAAAAATATTCTGTTAATTCCCTGAAAAGTGGGAAGTAAAGTTATTCCTAAAATGTGAGCTTTTGGTAAATACTCTTTGGGCATATAGGTTTTTTTTTTAAGATTATTTTTTCAAGGATCCCTATATTTCAGTCCAGTATTGACAGAAGTTACTGTTTTTTTTTTTAAAAAAAGGAATATAAAAAGGTGTTCTTCACTACAGTTAGAAGGTCTCCTGCAGGATTTTATCGTATTTTTCTCTGTGTATTATGAACGGGTTCTCCCAATGAGAGTAAGTGGTGCATAAGAGTACCAAACACCAGGAATCAAACTGAAAGAACAAAGATCATTATTTATGTCAGCCTCAGTTCATTATATATGTCAGCCAGAAGAAAAAGGGAGATTCTTGATTCAAGACTAGCACATCATTTCACGTGGCAGCAGAATGCCCGGGATGTTAACAAAGGCTCCTGAAAGGCTGAACCATCTATGAATGTCATTTTAGTCTAGCTGGCCTTACTATTTCTAAACACAGTGAAATCAATTAGCATTTCCAGTTGTTTAAAATAAATGTGTGGAATCAGAATTGTTTCAAATCTTTTTTCCGCCTTTTAATTAGATACGACATGCTGGGGATTTAGTAGACGTGAGGGGGACATCATGAAAATTAAATCACATTGTATACTTAAAATGCTGGCATTTTCATGTCCAAGTTAAATATTAATCATATCAGTAAAACACCAAGGTGGAATTCTGTTGCTGAAGATACACTTTTAGATAGATATTTCCTCCCCCTCCCCCACATCTTGCATGTCACTTTAGAGAAAATATCTAAGCTTATTTAAATGCTTGTTTGTCATCCAGCTCACATAATGAGCCAAAATGGAGCCTGTGACACAGCAGCCCTGAACGGAGGAGGAAGCACGCCTTGGGGTAGTGTGTGCCCTGTATACGTGCAGTGGACCTGGGGTAAAGGAGAGAAGAGAGTTGCCTCGTCCTTTCTGCCCTCTACTTCTCCCAGACCTTCACTGACCCCTGCAGGGCTCATGGTTTGGGACTGTTCAGAATGCATAGGTGCCTAGTTAGACCTGTTCTAGTTGTGGAGGTGTCTGGTGACTAGAATGACTGTATATCTGTTCTTGCTTTAATTGTTTCCTTTTAACCTCAAGATTAGGCTTTTATTGCAGAATGAAATGCATTTGAGCCATTCACTTTTACTCTATTACCTCTCTAGCTTAGAATGAACCATCAGTAGAATTAACCAAAATTGCATCATGGAGCTGGAGAATTGCCACTGAGGAAGTATTCTAGCCATACTTCAGGAAAGATTCTCCTCGTGGGATTACTTCACAGTGGAATTCTAAAATCCAGAAGATACTATCACCAAGAAAAACTTAAATCCTGTCAGCTGTTGGAAAAATTTATCCTACTAAAAACATACTCCCAAATTCCTTTGATTAGCCACAGTCTTAGGAATATCGGATTCAGAAAAAGCAATTTAGGGTTGAAGGAAACAGTCCCCTACCTGTTTAATTCAAAGTTGGCACCTGGGATCAGATCATTGGGCTCACACTGCTGCTTATTATCAGTGGGCATGGTCATATTATTTGAAATCTCAGAATTGAATTCATCATATTAATTTAAACTTAGAGATTTTAGGTCTAGGATGTAAGAAAAATAGCTTTTTTTCTTTCTACCCTGGGTTTACTGTAAACTTCTAGGGTGCATGTTCTCCTTGAAGCACAGGTCCCCTTCCGTTTGCAGATTCTATGCCATAGGTTCAGCTTCTGCTCTCTGTGTTTGACCCGAGTTCTCTCACTTCACCCCCCAATAAGCTTCATCAGTGTTACGCAAGTTACAGTGGAGAAACAAACAAGATAATTAACAGAAATATTAACTGTCAACAGAATTCTAGCCTAGTGCTTTGTTAATATAACTAATATTTAAATTGCATGTGAACATGCCAAGTAAAAAATGTGAAGCAAAATTTAGTTTTTAAAAAGCTCCTTTGGTTAAGTCCCCAGAATATCATATGTATAAAACTGGAAAAAATTAAAATTGATTATGATTGCACATTTATTTTTGCTAAAAAGAATGGTAGTAAATACCACTGTATTTAGAAATGCTAAATCCAGCTAAGCTAAAAAGACACTCATAAACTGCTAAGCCTTTCAGGAGCCTTTGTTAATATCCCAGGCATTCTGCTGCCACGTGAAATGATGTGTTGGTCTTGAATCAAGAGTCTCCCTTTTTCTTCATGCTGACATAAATAATGATCTTTGTTCTTTCAGTTCTATGTTTGGTATTCTTGTGTACCAATTTACCCCACTTGGGAGACCCTATTTCATAATTTCCTGAGCAAAAGGTTTGGACTGTTTGGGATTTCTGTTTTTTTCTTTCCTCTCTCTCTTTCATAACAAAATCTAATTAGAAAAAAGTGGAAAAGTGAAACCAGTTAAGCAAGAATTTGAGCAGAAGCCTCCAGAGTTCAGATTTGTTGGGTGTCTGGCTGGAAAGTTGAGAGTGAGGACAAGGATCACTTGTGTTCTATCTCACAAGCAGCAAGTTATACTTCTGCAGTGTGTCTAGATGTGATATCCTGAGAGTTAAAAAGTATGACTTTGACCAGCTGCCTTCAAAGCTTCTGGAATGTTTTTTAAATGAATGAGAGTTTTAGTACACTGGAAATTTTGCGTTCACCGTATGGAGCAGTAACATTTGCATTCTCTGTACTTCTAATCTTAGAAAGACTGTCCTTTTTCACCTAATGCATGCTTTTGCCCCAGATTTATTACTGCAGAGAATTAAAATGTAGTACTCTTTTGAAAAGTAGTAGGTATTAATACTTTAATAGTATGCTTTATATTAATATTGTTGAATCTGACCTGGGATTTATTTGTATCTCTTGATTTCACTGGAGTATTCTCATCCTATGGAATGTGGATAGACCAAATGTTAGCCAGGTATTTAGAGAGTGAGAAATATCACATATATCACCTTTTATTTAATGTAGATTATGGTTAAGAAGCTCATCTGTATTCTTAGTGTTTATTTTGGCTAGAAATAATTACTGCTTCCTCAATTTGATTTCAGAGAATACCTGAATTATTAAATCATCCAGGTCTTCCCTATTTGAGACATTCATATTCAAAAATCCCCAACTCTTTGTAATTGCTTATTTTGAAAAGTGTGGGTTAAAATTTATAGTCAACTTATTAATTCATATTAATTGAGTAAAGTCCAGTTTGAATTACTGAAAAATCCTCACAATGAATTACATATAGAATGAAACACTTTTGTGTTCAAATAGGTATAAAAATTCAAATAGGTCTAAAAATAAAAATATAAAGGTCTTTAATTTGGATATCAAAGACATAATCCTGGTCCTCTAGAAATTTAAACATAGTTGAGAAATGAAAAAATTACCTGACATTTGACATATAAAGTGCTTTCACATAGTGCCTTATGTGATATTTATTACGACAACCCTGTCAAGAAAGAATTTTATCCTTATTTTCATGATGAGGAAATTGGACTTTCCTAAGCTTAAATAATCAATGTCCTGATTAACAACTTATTTTAATGCAAAAATTTTTTTGAAGTTTTGCATATTATCAAGTTAGTTCATAATCACTATAGATTTAATACTATTTCCCATTAAAAATATGAAGAGATCAAAGTAGAAGTAACATTTGCCACTTTTATACTATTAAGATCTTTTAAACATGTAAGAATTTAAATATTGTATACTTTATACAGTGAAGTATGTATTTCATCCAATGCATCATTATAGTGTTGCTATAATCTACTGACTCTTGAACTACAGAAGATTATTTTTACTTAAATTTATGAGGAACACAGTGAAATTCCACTTTACGATTTTGGTACCACTTGCATGTGTATAGAGATCTGTTGTCAGTGTTCTCATTTTAAACTGTAATCTATATTTCTGCATTTTTATGATATTTTCATCTCAATTGCAGATAAAACTCAGAGGAAATTTGCACAGATGCTGCTTTGGAGAACTTTACAACCTGGGTTGCAGAACTGAGCCTTGGTAAACCTGTCTCTCTTACAGCATGTCGCCATACATCCAATTAAGTGCATAAGGTCTTTGGCCTTCAAGATCCATTGACCTGAAACAGGAATGCTTAGCACGTTTACCATATGTTTAAGATCTGTTCTTTATCAATCAGTCCTTTTGTAGCTTTCTAAGTTCTTAATGATGGCTAATATGCAAGAATTAATTTTTAATATTTTAATTGATTTCTTTAATCAGTTTCTCAACTTGTATTTATTAAATACTCAAACTCAGTATTACCTACTCAATGCCTTTTAAAAGAAAGTTATAATGGAGAAAAAAATTGAGCCTTAAACAAATGGTTACTTCTGTATATTACCTCGCGCCAGTGCTTCATTCTATTTGTAAAATCTTTCTCCTTTAAGTGATTGGTTAATACTTTCAGACTCTGTTTACGTGTGGCAGTGTTGTAAAAAGAAACTAAAGATCACATTTTACCTGTGTGGATGGACTATCCCTTTTCTTCAAGTGCAGTTTGTGATGTGTTTTTGTGTTAACATGTTCTGAAACTTACGGTTGATATTTGAAATTGACTGTAGCGCATTTAGCTAAAGAGTTAAGCATTTGATTCCATTAGGTTTTCACATGTGTTAATCTCATTTACAGCATCAAATTGCAGCAGTAACATTTTCCTTTCTGTGAAGTTCTAAATTTAGTTATGACCTACTTAGCAATGCCTTTGAAAAGGGATATTGTATCCATGGTAAATTAATTGTATACCTAAACAGAGATAGCTCAGCTTCGCCTGTCAGGCTTGTGACATCTAGTAGACTTCTGCACATGTAAAATTAAATTCAAATAAAATCATATACACTTCGTAGTTCTTAATATTTGTCTTTCTGAATAATAGTTTAAAGCAATATTTGTTAAAGTTTTCTTGCACTATCACAATTGCTTTTTAGTTATTTCTCAAGAAGCATGTTTGTAGTAGAGACAAAAATCTGTGTAACAGGAGGGAGGATAGCGCCAAGTCTCTGGGCGTTTTTTCCCTTTGTTTTTTTCTTTTTCAAATGTGCTTCTAATAGCCATTGCCTTCCGTGTTGTTTACCTAATCAGCACATTTTGTCTGAATACTTGAACATTTAACAGTAACACAGGTATAGAAACAGAAAGTAAACTTATAAAGAGTAATCTTGTGATTCAGTTCTAACATCATGACAATGAGCGCTTTTTCTAGCAATGATTTTAAAATTTTGTAAGTTTGACAGTATTTTGTTGTTGGGTTTTTACTTGGTTTTAGTTGTGTGCTTTTAATTTGCAGAAGTTAGTAACTGCAGCTCACCTACTGCACCAAAGTTCTCGATTTTAGGAGCCCAGCTTTAGTCATTTGAACATGCTTCTAAATAAAACAAAACAAAAAAACCAAAACCAGACTTTTGATCTATAATAATAGCTCAATAACTTTGTCAAGGAAAGCTCTAATATATGCAGTGATGGTTTTTGGAAGGGTGTGGCAATTTTAAATTTATATTGTGTGTGATGTTCAGATAAAGTGATATCTACATTCATGTGATTTATTGGTCAGTATGACCATTAATTATTGTGTAGAAATTAATTAAACTTTGTTTTCCTTTTTTAAAATCGTGTTGCATTTGATTCCTGATCAAATTCCCTCAAAGTGGACTCTTGATCTTAGATTTTGAATTTTATGGTGAGATTGTAAGGGTGGAGGCAATTGAAACTTAGTTTCTTATTTATAAACTGCTTGAAATGAATACCTAATTTAAGTTTGCACTTTAATACCAAACTTAAAACCAAAAGCTCAGTTCAAAGTAGGTTAAGTGATTGTGGTTCATTTTTATTAGCTTTTGTGAAATTCTAAAGGAATCAAATAATTCATGATGATTTAAATTTTCTGCAGATGGATTTTTTTTTAAATACAGTGTTTCTTTTCTATGGATAGTTCTTGTTCTCTGGCTCTCTTGCTCTGTCACTGACCTCAGCAGCAAATTTAACTTGAATTCACTTAGTATCACAGGAATCAGGGGAAAGTGATTTAAAGGTGATTTCTCCAGCACATTTTAAGAAAAGGGACCAAAAGTTATTTTAGCTTTCTCAATAGATTGCATGTCAAGTTGCTTATTAGGATAATAAATTAAATGCAATATATGTCTCGTCTTTACTATGGCATCTGTTTAGGAGTTGTTCAAATCACTGCAGTAGGGCTCTGCAAATAAAATCATGTAACCTATTATCATGGATCTAATGTACTGTAACTTTATCAATGAAAGTTAAAAAATCTCGAATAACAAGTACAAACATTGAACAATGACCTATAAATATTTGTAAAAGTAAAATTTTTCCAATAGATTTCATTCTTGTCATTTTGTAAGACGACCCTGCAGTCCACATGTTTGTAACTTTTTTAATAAAATAGACATCTGTATTACTGAGGTTGGTTTCTTGAATTATTTGGTGTATCACTGCTTGTTATTTGCTAACCTGTAAATCTTTTTCATAACTTTTTTTAAACTTTTGATAAAAAGTCATTATCAAAATGATAATGTGTATTGCAGTACATGTTTAAACAAGTTAAATGTCCACCTGTATTCTTAGTCACCATTCTGGCATATGTGGGAAAAAACTTAGCTATATCCTAAAATGTGATATTTAATCAATTGAATAACTTATAAATAAATTAGAAATTCAAAATAATGGGTAAAAAAGAATAATGACATCCCATATGGAAAAAGTGGCCCTGTGTAGGAGATTCTAGACAGTATTATGCTTTATATTAAATTCTGAAATAATGAGTTAAGAAAATCCAACACAATTATCACTTTGTTTTATCCAGTGAAAGGCTTTTGCCAATCACTTTTAATTCACTGCTTTACTCAATATTTTTAAATTGTTGAACCGAATAGTTGTTTTAATCTCAACTTTTTTTAAAGCCACTATGTTTTCTTCAAGTTGGACAGTTCTGTATGTCCAAATATATTATGAACTGGATTTTTAAAAATTGTAATAATTGACAGATTTATATACCTGTGTCATAACATACAGAAGATATTTTATTGTTTATTACCATTGATTATCAGTCTTCAGTTGGGCTCTAAATACCCATATATGTCATACTAGATGCTGTCCTTCAAGTCCAAAAGCCCGTTTTTTTTTTTCAAAGAAAGGCTCTCGTGACTTCAGGGCCCTCCCCCTTTTTTTCCGCTGAAGGAGTAGCATCCCTCATCCAGCAAGGTCAACATTTTTAACTAAGTGAACAACAGAGAGAGGAGAGGATGGAATAGGGTAAATGCATGATGACCCATATCAGTAGGGTACTCTGTCAGATCACCTTTATGTCACCAACTTTTCTGCCCTTTTCATATTCTTATCCAGGGAGAAGATTCATCCTTCAGGACATAATGGCTTGAAGTCAAGATCCAAGGCTATAAGATTTCTCATTCAGATTAAAAACAGGGACAGTTTTTCTAGATTCCATATATATGCATTAATATACAGTGTTTGTTTTTCTGACTTACCTCAGTCTGTATAACAGGCTCTAGATTCATCCACCTCACTAGAACTGACTCAAATGCGTTCCTTTTTGTGATTGAATAATATTCCATTGTATATAATGTACCAGCAATCTAGAAAAATGGTACATACAATGAACCTATTTGCAGGGCAGGAATAGAGATAGAGACAGAGAGAAAGGACTTGTGGACACGGTGGGGAAAGGAGAGGATGGGACAAATTGAGAGAGTAGCATTGAGACATATAATCACATGTAAAACAGATAGCTAGTGGGAAGCTGCTGTGTAACACAGGGAGCTCAGCCTGGCATGTGACAACCTAGAGGGGTGGTCTGACATAGGCTGGATGGAGGATCAGGAGGAAGGGGGTATATGTATACATATGGCTGAGTCACGACGTTGAATGGCAGAAGCCAAGACAACATTGTAAAGCAATTATCCTCCAATTAAACAAAATGGGGACAGTTTTTCAGATAGGCTCCTGCTTTCACATATGTTTATCTCATTTGAACCTTACAACTATCTAGTGCTTTGAACATCATTGTCCCCAATTTGTTGATGAAACCAAAGCTCAGAAAAGTTGTGACTTAAGATCATGAAGGCAAAGAATTAAAATGTTGAGGAGGGTACTTTGGGACAAGTTTTAAAATGAATTCATCATTGGGTAGAGTCAAATAGGTGCTATTAAAATCATAAAGCTCCTGGAAACAAAAGACACACAGTAAGAAATAACTGTTTTGAGTCAGAGTGACAGTTCATATGTAACAAAATACTATGGGTCCTATTTAAAGTAATGTGTTTGTTATATTGCTAAGAGTTTATGTAAGACATAAGCTATTTTCATTATAGCTATTTTTCTTTGGAAAGTCAATGTCTTAAATCAAGATTTGGCAGTCTTTGGCCGCCAGGCAGAATACAGCCCAGTTACCAGTGCCAAAAGAACTGTAGTTAGATTTAGCAGCTGTATCCTAAATCCATTGCAAAGCTGAGCTGCACCCTTTTTCTACCTAAACGTAGATTTTGAATGGAGGATCAGAAGTGCAGCTGATCCCAGACACATCCTTTGTCAGTAAATAGACCTACTTCTGTGCTTACAGGCACTATTGTCTATGGCCCAGGCTACCCCATTCACAAACTCAATGGTCCTGTCATTGTACAGGACCCATTCATGAGTTTTCTCCCATAAACTGTGAGCTCCTTGAAGGTAGGGCCTTGCCTAAGTCACTTCTTAACCTCTAGTGTATTATAGGTGCTCAATAAATATTTTATGAAATTATAGTCACAGAATCAGTATGGCAGATAGGTGTTCACTCTTTAGAAAATTCTAACTCTGCCATTTCCTATTGGTCTTTTTTATTTACAATAGGTAGTATGGGAAATACATTTTCTTCTCCCATCTTCCTTCATCCTCAGCAGTACTAAGGTGATTTTTTTTGCTCATTTGTTTCGTTTCTGTCTTTGTTTATGAGTGAAGTAATTGTTTCTAAACTCACTTTCAAGAGAAATGTTTACCATAAAGAGATGGCCCATGCATGCATACTGTAAATATGGACTGAAGAGCTTTGAGTCCTAAGATTAAATTCCCCAAGACTCTAGGGAGAAGAGTACAATCAAGAAAGAGTGTTTGCTTGCTCATGCCTGGAATTCCTCTCCAATAGATTTCAAAGCTGATCCAAACCTTTCCCAGCCTCATTTTTAGGCTGGGAAAGGACTGGGTTCCCCAATCTTTCAAATATTTACCCTTAAATAATAGGCAATAATTCCTATTCTCCCTGCAAACCTTCAAGTGATTGCCCACCTACACCCCTACAGTCATCTCCTTGGCCTTTCCTTTAATCCTTGCCCCCATTTCCTTCATTGTACCTATCAGTTAACATGTACCCCACATAAACAACTCCTACCCTGTCCCCTCCCTTTTTCCATATGAATCTTATGATAGTTTTATGAATAAAAATACTAATGGAAATAAACGTTTTTTACTCTAATTCCCTAAACCCCAAGGTTGAGTCTCCAAATCCTTAAACACCAATTTGTTGTTCAGTCGCTCAGTCATGTCTGACTCTTTGTGACCCCATGGACTGCAATATGTCAGGCCTCCCTGTCCTTCACTATCTCCTGGAATTTGCTCAAACTCATGTCCATTGAGTTGGTGAGCTATGTAACCATCTCATCCTCTGTCGCCCCCTTCTTCTTTTCTTGCCTTCAATCTTTTCTAGCACCAGGGTCTTTTCCAATGAATTGGCTCTTCACATCAGGTAGCCAAAGTACTGGAGCTTCAGCTTCAGCATCAGTCCTTCAAATGAGTATTCAGGATTGATTTTCTTTAGGATTGACTGGTTTGACCTCCTTGCTGTCCGAGTGAATCTCAAGAGTCTTCTCCAACACCACAGTTCAAAAGCATCAATTCTTTGGTGCTCAGCTTTCTTTATGGTCCAACTCTTACACCCATACATGACTACAGGAAAAACCATAGCTTTGACTATACAGATCTTTGTCTGCAAAGAGATGTCTCTGCCTTTTAATATTCTGTCTAGGTTTGTCATAGTGTTCCTTCCAAAGAGCAAGTGTCTTAATTTCATGGCTGCAGTCACGATACGCAGTGATTTTGGATCCCCAGAAAATAAAATCTGTCACTTTTCCCCCTTCTATCCACACCGATAATTGGAGACATCTTTTGGTTGGCCTCAAACCAATGCCAGGTTATTCCCCAAGGATCAGTCCCATGCATATGCTTCAATATCAGTGATCTCTGTGGTCTGCCATGTAATCAGAGACTCTCAGGTGCCCCAAAAAGACCTCCAGGAATCGGCTCCTGAGGCTTGAGATACTTTTCCTCATACTGTAAGCCCTGGGGAAATGCCCCAGACTGACTAGTCTGAAGCTCCTACCAGCTGCTGTAAGCTTTAAAGTTTGGAAGGGGGATGCGAAGGAGGGAGGAGCTTAAGCTCATCTGAACTTTTTCTTGGACCTTGAAAGTGGACAGGTAATGTCCACTTTCAAGAAATATAAGGATCTCTGGGGGTTCTGGCTCTTCAGTAAATCTGAGTTTGGGGGTTCATTGTTTAAGAGGGAGCCCCAGGAAGCCCTTATACCGATGGGCATGGTTTTCTCTGGTTTCCTCTTTTGCACACCAGTTCCTCTTTTGAACACTTGCATGGCTATCCTTAGAAAAATCCCAACCGAAGCATAGACATTATGCCATGCCCCCAGGATATCTCTACAAGTGTTTTGGTCCTTTGCTCAGGCCCTGAAATATACAGAAGTAAATTGGTGGTGCCGAGGTGGGTAGTAAGGATGGACAATTAAATGTCAGACCCAAGCCTTTTTATCATGCTGCTTGATTACAAGCTAAGTCTGGCAGATGCCTGAGTCTTCTGACCACTATGGCATGGCAATTAACCTTGTTCTCTAACTCAAGAGAAGTCTGAGCTGCGAGCCTTTGGCTCTCCAGGTGGCTAAAAAGAATGTTTGCAGTGACCTAGGAATGGAAATCTTTCCCAGAAAAGACCGATATTCATCTGACAGTAAATAGTTGCTTGGTTGGGGAGGATAACCATTCTAGGCAAAAAAGGGACAAGAAAATCAATACCTTAATGTAACTTCATTTAACTGAGCTTCTATGTATATGCCAGGCTCTGTGCTGTGAGCTGAGTTTATAAGAGGAATGTGATATGGCCTTATCCTCTGGTGGAGGTTACATTCCAGCCTGGGAGATAGCCCTGCAGGCAATAATTATGAGGCAGTATGATGTATGTTCTAATATCAGCATGAACCAGATGCTGGGGAACCCAGAGAAGGGAAAGGATTTGTGTATCCAGCATTTTCACCATAAGCATCTTTGCCATAAGCTTTTTTGCCACAAACAGTTTCACCGCATGACAAATAGGCCATAAGGTAATTTTGCCATAAAAGATAAAATAATG